AAACAACCTAGCTGATATAGTGAAAGTGCCTGCATAAACTGCTCTTGATGTGGAATTACACAAAGATTGCTTCAGTAAATGGGGTTGTCAGAGCCTGACCTAAGAACTTTATATTTTTCAGATATACATTCAATACTCTCCTTAATGACCCATTGTGAGGGGAGATTCAGGTTGGGTTGAAAGAACTGTTGAAAGTGAGGTAAACTCATTTATAGAAAAGTGAAAATGATTATTATTTTTCTCAAATTCAGCATTTGATTTATTAAAGACACTGAATAAAAAAACAATAACATTTTTTATTTAACTGTTACCGAAATATTAAGTTACACAAACAGTGTTAGTTACACTGAATTATTTATGAAATGAATGATTTTCGTCTACATGTTTCTGTTAGAGGGGAAAAGAAAACCACTTTATATATGACAAAACTTTGACCAACTTAATAATGTCGGACCTTGGAACAACATTTAAGTAGGACAAAATTTGTATGTTTGCAAAGTTGCCCTTTTTATATCAATGAGAATGTAGTGGCCTAACAGCCTCTGCAAAGAATTACTTTGAATGCTCTGTATCCAAGAAAGTTCTAAGCTAGCAATATGTTTAAATTACCTATTGGAATATGGCAAAGTAATTTATATTAATTGCTAACATTTTACCAGAACGAAACATGTGAGAATGTTCCTGAAATGAATGAACAATTTTCTGCCAAATCCAAAAATGTGTCAAAACTGCTGTCCTGAATAGCCCTCTAAAAGTCAGTGACAACCTTAAAAACCATGTCTGAACAAAAACAAAAGTACCTCTTGCCATTTTAGGTTTGTCACACTGGAAATTTGCTGTGCAAGTGAGTGTGTGTGTGTGTGTTTGCGGAATACATGCACTCTGCTGATGTCACAGAGGGAGATGCTAACACAGAATTCAGTGCCAAAAACAAGAGTTCTCGCTTTTCGGCAAGTAGCATTGGCACAAAAATTTACATTCACATTTCATGTAAGAAAGCACACAATAAGTACAAGATGTGTTGAAAACCACTTTCATATAACAGCACAAGTAATGAAACATATGGTCCTTATACCATAGAGATAAGCCAGGAGAAAGCTGTGCTAAAATATTTTTTTGTAATAAATAACAAAAAACAATGCTAATTATCCTTATAGTCTAGGGCAAATGCCAAGTCGCAACATTTTCCAGAAAGACCAAAGAACTGCAGCTGGATCCAACACGTTAAACGAATTCAGGGCAGTAATGCCTTTCTCCCACTCACACATGCCGCAAGAAAATCAATGAAAAGTTGGAACCATTTATTAACACATCTACAAGAAATTTAGTGTCACATTAGTATTTATAGATGGCTCTACAGGTCATGCAGTGTGTCCCTTCTCTGTTCCTCCTCGTATGTCCTGTTGTGCTTTTATGGTCATCAAATGCTTAGATATCTTGTGTTAACTACAAATTCCACACTGCTTAATGTTCAGAAGTGTATATGTTACAACAATTGACACACCAAATACCAAATTGAAAGTGCAATTAAAAACTTTTGCTTTTAGCATTGTACTTTCATGGAGGTGATATTTACTGATACTTTGATATAAATTTTCCATACATACTTATTTTTAGTTGTATTTTATTGTAAATCATTCACCTAAATGTCACTCATAATTGCACTACAATATTGTGTCAAAGAGTGTGTTTTGATTTTTCATTGCATCAAACATTGTGTACTTTATATGTAAAATATTGTAAAGGGAAGGATCCCACAAAAATCAACAAGTAAAATAAAAGAATGTATTTCATTCCATCACAACCCTTTTTACATATTTATGAACTCCATAAACAAGAACTGCCTGGCTTCTCAGTTGTGGACATGCTACTCATCTGAACCCACTACTCATCTGAACCCAAGGCAGCATGTACACAAGATCTGTACCAAATCAGTGAAAAATCTGAGGCACATATTTCGATATATCTGAAATATCTGAAAGCCTTCAAAATCCTGTGGTGTGCTTATATTAGGCCCATCTTTGAACAGTGCCAATCATACAGTTACCTCAACTGATTACATTACAGCAAAAAATTGGAACTATCAAAAAAATAAATTTCCTAGTTTCCTCTCAGGATCAGACTTTTATTACGAATACAATGAATTATCCACGTCTGTTTCTCCTGAGGACTTTCACAGTTTAGGAATTACAGCTATTACCACCAGTAGTTGATTATCTAATTTTGTATAATTACTCACTGTGATATTAGCTAAACTGTGTTAACCTGCTAATTTTGAAACTGCGAATGACAAGTGAAGGTTTTGCCACATTACAATAAAGTTCCCACTACAGGTGAGGAATCCCAACCACCAAGTTCTCTAAACGTGAGCAAATCAACAGAGTTTTCAACAAGCATTGTAGCTGATGAACGTCGAAAACAATGTCCTGTGTAGAGCTCAGGAGTATCCAATTTTAAGAATTTAGCCACCTTTTTTGGAGCATTTCCTATTGAGTGTATACCCACAACTTGTTTTGTACATTTGCCATTCCTGAAACCGATGAAAAATCGTCTAGTTTCTATATTAGAAGGACGTAGAGCAGCATATCTTCTATACAAATCATATGCTTTGAAAGGAAGACCATCTTTTGGAATTACAAAGATCCTATTTCTTTTTGTCCTTGTGCATTTCAGTGTAACTAGCACACCATTGCTTGAATTTTCTATATCATCAATAGTCAAAGACACAAGTTCTTCACGCCGGCATGCTCCCAAAACTCCAAAAATTAAAATAACTTTTACAAGTAACCACAAATAATCGTTTGCTTCCACTAAAAACTTTATAATCTGTTCTTCAGATAGAATCTTGGCCTTCTTGGGGATATAACCTTCAGATTTTTGTCTCAAAAATAGGTATAGTTTTTCAAATCTGTAAAATGAATTGAGATGCAACTTACTAAATGAAGGTTTCCACTAAAATGTAAAAATGAAAAGCGTGGAATACTAACCTTGATATGTCAATACTTTCATGAACTTTCAGAGCTAGCTTTAACATTGAGAATTTCGTCCACAGCGATGTGGGAGAGTACGTATCAGATTTCTCTTCAGCATAAGCTAGCATAACAGTTTCATTTACAAAGTCAATATCCTTACATTGCCGCCAATGTTGAAAATCTTGATATTCTTTCTCATACCGTAATTTAGTTTTTTCTGGTAATAAATCTACACTTGAGGAGCTTTCCTTTTCCAAAATATCGTCTGGAATATGTACATCTTCCTCAAACACGTTAAAATGTGGAACATTTTCCATATCTGAATAAGAAACATACATCTATCAGTTTAAATGTATGTAGAAACCACACTGTCTCCTCTGATGCAACCATCTCAATGAAATGAATAAACGACTCGTAGTTAAAGATACTGTCGCAGTCCGTCTCTAAGAAAGATATTCTTATTTAAATATTTTCTCTTAGGATGGTAATAAGAAAAGTATCGATCAAATCGTGGCTCGGTAACGTAATTGTGGTAACGGTTAATCAATGCCTATTCATGGTCTGAATTGGATATAAACCTCAGTTACAGCCTCTGTTTCAGAACATCAACCTTGCCTGTAATATGCCTCTACACCAGCTTAATGATGTTTATAACTAATATGTTGGTAATAAATTCATATTCATTCCACTTATCACAATACCTTCTACAAGTAGCTAGATATAAATAATCTCAACATAATCTGTAATTGTGATACTTTTCCGTGTTTAAGTCTTCAACTGCTGCTCATTTTCTTGTTTAATGTGTTAATTACTCTGGACTATGTGCTTACTCTGCGTTTACTCACTAATTCTAACACTGTATATTAATAATATCAGTTGAATACTTGTGAACATTCCACACTTTTTAAATTATTGTTATTAAAAATTAGTTTCATACTGGAACTCCACTTCAAACAATCTACCATTCGTGCTAAGGAAAGGTGGTACCCTCCAAAAATAAAATATAAGAACAAAAAAGGTTTCATTTTGTAAGCTACCACATACGAAACCTTACATAAAACTTGGTTCACGGAACACAATAAATAAGTGTTAAGTACCTGTGACACACAGTTTTCAAGCTATAATTAACGGAAACATATATGCAAGTTGTCAACTGTTTTCCATAACCATAGTCTGTGAAATTCTTAACTTTTCACCTTAATTCCGTTTGATGCACATCTGAAGGTTTACTTCCCACCCAACAGTAACACATTTAAGAAATTTTGGGTCGATGGCATTTATTGCATACAACAGTCAATTTCTTTGCAAAGGTTTTTTTTTTGTTTTTTTGTTTATTTATTCACTTATATTATTTTGCATAAATCTGCAACTGAGAATTGAGAACTAGGTATTGACGTATAACAAATTTTTGATACTTCCTATGATGTTCTATTACTGAACTGCTAATGGACTTGCCTATTGCAATAACAGTTTTATACACATCTTGAACTTCTTATAAATTATGAAAATTAACTTCAAAATAATGTTGGTATGTTTGCTTTGTGCTAATTCTATATTATTTAACAAGTTCAGAAATTGTGATTTCGTAACTTCAGATTTTATAACATCATTATGAAGATAATGGTATATGTATTTATGCTGATCTTTAAGACTGTCTGTCGCACACTGGGTTCATATCAGGTCGTATCATATCGGGTTCATTGGATTCATATTATGATCATGTCACGTCGTATCATGTAAGCCTGTAGATTTTAATAGATTGGATCTTATGACATCTGCAAATTGTATTAAAATTAAGGCTTTATTACTGCATACACTTCATTACTTGCAAGTGGTTTTTCCATTAAACAAATCAATTTCAGGCCTCAAGCTTAAGATCTCGCGCACAGTCCATGACAAAATTTCATAATGTTGGGGATTTATTTGCTTACCTTTTTGCAACTTTACTTCTAATACAGAAGTAATTTCTTATCCGGCCATCAGCAAATGTAACGTGAACAAAATAATAGTGTTTACAGTATTACTCACCAGGATAATTATTTGTATTCTCTTGACTAGTTCCACCTTGCATATCTGATGACCCAGCACCACTCTCCAGCATTGCCATATCATCCACATACTCTTCATTCTTTGGTTCAGGGACAAACACCTGTGCCAATGGTTCTGTGGGATCTTCAGGTTCTGTTTTAACAACTGTCTGAACATCCGGAAGCACCTGCTCTGATGATGCAGAAGATTGATCGTGTGATGGGAACCTTGTATCTGTGAGACTCCGACTTTGCTGTGAGCTAACTGAGTGTGAAGATATCCCAGTTGAACTACTTGCAGTGGACGTACAGGGCATCCCCAAAGGCATTGGAGTGGGCATGAAATTTTCACGCATGTTGCTGTCACTACTGCTCTCGTTTCCTGGCTCACTCTGACTGTCCTCATTTGTTTCTGTATGACTGTTTCTTCTACGTTTTCGAGGTACAGGTGATGAACAAACTTCCCTACTCGATACAGTCTTATTTGCAAACCTTTCTGAGATCTGTCAAAGACAAAATTACAGAATAAATTCAAAGAAATCATGATAAAAAGTCTAGTCTATTCATAAATAGCTGGACAACATAAAAAAATTGTAATTCATAATTAATTTTTTGTTAACACTTTTTTAACAGTCAAAAGATATTATGCCTTATGCATTACTAGAGTGAAAATACAACAAATATACACTGAAAATTACCACAGAAACATATAAATTCCCTGACAATATTATGAATTTGAAATGCAATACATATAATCTTTTTCACTTCAACCAACACTTGTTAAGAAAAGTAAACAGATTTGGAACAAAGTTATAAATTTGGATAAACTGCAAAATAAATATATACCTATGACAGTCAATAATTAACGAGACAGATAGTTGTGGAGAGAACCAGTACATTCAATGTCAATGAAACCTTTTGAGAATGTTAGGAACATATTTCTTTAGTTCTTCAACTATATGTCAGCAATGCTTGAAAAGCACCCACAGAAGAGCAATGTTCAGTTATAAGACTTTGGCTCTCCAAATGTATGAATTCAATAGCAATTTACAAGAATGTCAAAACAATGTGACAAAAAGCATTTATACTGTAGTAACATTAATAAGTGGGTGGAACTGTTTAATTTTGGGCAGAGCATCCATCACTGATCTCCATCTCTCTGGAAGGCCATTTCAAGTTTCAATCATTGCTTAGCAAAATCACATCAAGAATGATTTTCATGAAGATAGGCAAGTCAAAATTTTCCAACTTGCTACTTTGACTAATATTAGAATTGAAAGCATGCATTCAATCATTCAAGCTCTGTCAAAAGGTGTCATTCCCTTAAATGTAAATGTTAACCAACATACTGAAAAGTTCGGTTGGAAATGGGGATGGGAGCATTTCTATCTTCAAAATTGTACTTGTACGAAAACACCATAAAAATGTTAAACGTTTGCAATTTTTGAATATTCTGAGAGTTTAACAAAAAACAATCACCACTTTCATTACCATTTTTTCCTGCAAATCAGAAGAAAAAATTTCAAGAGATTTTTGAGAAAGTTGTTGAGATCTTAGGTAAAGTACCTTCAAAAATCAAAATCTCTATTTGAAATTTAAAGGGCTGAGACCAGCCAGATCAATTAGGGACTATCAATTTTGGTGAAAATCCTGGATACAGTAAAGCCTATAGCAGTCTTCACACATGGATGGACAAACAGATGTTTTGCCATAATCCAATTTTTCAATATCAAGAACCAAGAATTTACCAAGAATAGGAACAAGATTTATCCACTTTTTCATTGCTAGGCACCTGTAATAAGATTTTTTGTTAAAGAACTGATGTTTCTTTCCACAGCATCACAACACTTCCTCTAAACTGTATAAGCAGTAGACGAGAAAGTAAAAATAATTATTAATAATGAGTTACTATAGACAGGTACGAAAAGAAATTGAGAGATCCCTCGCCTACAGTGCACATGTTAACTGCATCTCCACGTGTGGAATTTCAGGAATGGTGTACAAAATACCAGGATATTGGGGTCATCACGGGGGAGAATGTCTGCTGGATGAAAAAATTATCAACAGTGTACCTTTCATTCAAATACATGAACTGACAATGATTTCTTTGATTTTTTAACTTAAAAAAAATTTATTATGGGACTTAATTTTCAAACAAAACATTGAAATCATAAAAACATTGAGCACTAAACATTGAAGTAAAAAAACCTCAGGTCCAATAAATTTATTTTATTACAAAAGCAAAATACTGACACTAATGTTGCAGTATTATAATTTCCATAGTTGAAAATTGTTGTCGCATCCACTTTACAGTCCAGATTTCATCCCAATTTTCTCTTGTTCAGCCTGCTCATTATTAAGTATTAAAAAAGCAGAACACAAAACGGTTCATAAAGCAATGTAAAGACTTCTATGCTTTACGAATAAGGATGTTCACAGAATGGAGACAAGGGTCTAAATGTTTCTAGAGACAATTTTAAAAAGTAGCATGTTTCCTTGTCATTAATTAAATAGTTGCTTTTCTACATCAGTTTGTCTCGTTAATTATTGAGCTCGCCTCGTAATTTACAAAGGTTACCTTTTTCTTCTGTTGCCCTGATAGACCTTTGATTTGAAGAGATTCTGCTGCTGAAACAAATGCATCTAGCTGATCTTTTGGCAATTTCACTTGTCCACGATATACAAAGTCAATCAAATGCTTCAATTCTTGGAATTTCATATCCTTTAGGACAACAATGGGATTTTTCTCAGATTCTTGAGAAAACAGCATCTGAAAATATAATAATAAATATAAATCACCACAAAGGTAAGAAAGAAGTAATGTACATTGACATACTGTTGCTTTTCTGGATTACTGTTGCAAAGCTATTTAATTGCAATCTATATCCATGAAATGCCTATGCATCTGCCATCAAATGACAAGTGGTATAATGTCAGGAAAAAAGTCTTTTTTTTATTTATTTATTTATTTTAACCAATTAACCTGAATTTCAGCTTTTTCAGTTGCAAGCGTTCCAGAGAAGTGACAATATTGCATTTAGAGGAGAAAGGGTTCACTCATTTTCTTCACAGACCCCTTAAATTCACAATACTTCAACTTTCTGTGGATCTTTTGCTTATAAAGGTTAACAGAAATTTAAAATAAAATTTAAAAGAACCATAGAAAAACAAACATCTCACTGATTAAAAGAAGCATACAAACATATCACAAGTGCATACATAGTATCGCTCAGAATATCAATATTGTTTTTTAATGAAAAATATTGTGACAATCTAATAAGTTATAAGTTTATACGTAGTGACCTTAGATACAGTTTCGCATCTGCAGCCATTTAATATTCTCAACTGATAGTCCCAAAAGCAGAACTCAGAAATTGAACAGTAATGATAGTAATTGGTGACGTTAAGGAGATTTTGAAGAAAACTAATACTGGTTTGGGAAAGATTCATGGTTTTCAACAAACAGAATATCACACAGTTCCAATTCTTCTGACAACTGAATTTAAATGGCAGGATCAGAGGGACAATGAAATGTACTACACTCTGTATCTAGGGACTCTTGTTACATGGATTTACATTACATGAATTTAACACAGCCCTCTGGTGATGAAAATATGAAGATGGATTTTGTTATACTTATTGTGCATACAATAAAAGAATAATTAAGAGCAAAGATGCAACACACCACTTGTGATCATCGAATGTGTCATGTCAGTGCATGTACAACACTTTAGCCACCTTTAATTTAGCGCAACACAAGATATATATAAATAAATATAAATATATAAATTAGTTATGTACGTAAAACGAAAAATAGCATTAACACACTTTTGAATAATGGTAATTAAATGTTGCATCAACGTGACATACATCAGTACGAGTATTAGAATCTTAATACTCAATTACTCAAACTTTAATTCTATCATAGTTTACAACCTATTCTTATAAAAAAAAACTTATTAGATTAGATTATAAAATAATTTCACGTTATGCATGCTAAATTGAAAAACCCAATAAGGAGAGACAAATATTTTGAATCATCTTGATAAAAAAAAGTAGATGCTTCATAACTCTATATCAGTCCAGACTAATCCAATCAAATTTAATGCAGATCAACACAATATTAGTTTCTCTAGGCAGATAAACACCAGGAGTTCTGAATTCATATTAGTTTTAAAAGTCTTTGTTGGCATGCTTCCAGTGATTTAATTCATCCTTTTCAACATATCAAATTTCTGAGGTATACTTGAACTTAAAGAGTTCACAAAAGAAAAGACATAATTTGTATATTTTCCTCAAAGTCCTCAAAAGATACCAAAACACTTTATTAGCAGAATTAAGTATATTTTTAACTATCAGATTTAAAGATTAGCTGATGATCAATCATGATAACTAGATCTTTCTTCAAATCTTCCCTACCTAAACCAATGTCACTCATTTTATAGTTTAAACAAACGCATGTTGATTTGAAATATGACATGATCTGGCATTAATTATCAGGATTTAACAAAAGATTGTTATTTGAACACCATACCGCAAAACGATCAACGTAAGCTTGAGGGTCAAGACAATATTATACATTAATACATAAAAAGTTTTAGGTCACCCACATTGATTAATATAAAACAATTTAAATCATCTACATCATTAAATAAAATGTGTCTCAGAAAAACAGCTTTAATACTAATCTGAAAAAATGAGTTAATACTACCATCTCGTAGTATGAACTTTAATGCATCAGATTAGCCAAGCCAAAAGTGCATTGTTCCCAAAGAAAACGGACGAAGTAAAATAGGCAATTCTGGAAGAACATACATCCAAAGTGTTTCTGCTAAAAGCAGCACAAGTCGAGGACAAAAGCTGGTTTAGCGTGAAAGAATGATGCAGAATAAGGACTGCAATACCTAATCTAGTTAACAGAGATAAGGTTTAGTTTTTGTTTGGAGGATATGAAGTCATGAAATGTGAAATTTATTTTTCAAAAATGCATAGCAGTGGGTGTGATGAATAATCAGATTCTATAACAAACTATTTTTGGTTATGTTAGTTTGAGGTAAAATTGTTAAGCTGCGATGTAAAATTAAATTTAAGTTGTTACATTTTTGTAAGTTTCTGGAAACTTGTAGTGCTCACGTAATAGCAAGTGTTATAATTATGTAATCTACATTTCCAAGAAAAAATAACATATGCCCATCTTTCTTTTTTTATGACTTGTGAAATATATCGCATAATTTTTAATGTTTTCTTGTCAGTTATTTTATGTTTTATGATAAGCAAATGAATTGCTGCAGAATATAAAATTCCACGTAATGTCGCTGAGTTGGGAAGGTGGATAAATATTTCTCATTTGATTTGAAAAGCCTCTCTATTGCTCATGTGAATACAGGGTGCTTTGGGATCATGTGAATCAATTTTCCCTGTGCTGCAATTTTCTCTGTGCAAAGCACATTCCCTTGCCTCAAAGCAGCTATGTAGCCACATGAAGGAATACTACTGTACTACCCACTAATAGGACAGGAGCGCCACACCTAAACCGAGGGTATTGATGCTGCTGCTGCTGATGATAGTCATGGAATTCATTGGACTACAGAAGTATATATTCGTTTGAGTGACTGGTAAAAATAATTTGATGAATGTCCTTCTTAGAAAACAATCCTGGTTATTTACGAGAATTGACTACATTTTTGAACACCCATCTTAAAAATATCAAATAACTTGACATAAAAAATAACACACTCTTTAACTGGAATAACAGAAGTGTCATTCATAATTGCGGTCACATCAGCAAGAGACAGTCGCAAATTCATTTCCACAACATCAGGTTTATAATAATTAAAACGTTTCAAATCTGCTTCAGTGAAAAAAACATTACATTTCTCAGATAACGATGTTGTCTCAAAGTTAATTTCGGGGTGATAAGGATCCTCCACGCACATGGCATTGTCATCACAAGATCCAGAATGCTAGAGAAAAACCAATCCAGTAATCTATAGTTAAAGTGCAAATATTATTATAATTAAGAAGATCAAAATAATATTCAAAATTAACTAATAGTTATGATTTGGATCTAAAATAAAACCTTTATTATTTTCATTAAATTTACGACAGTTTAAGTCCCTTAATATTGCCGCTATGCATAGCCAAGGTCGCTAAGGCTAAAGGGCCGTAGCTGCCTTGTGCCTGAAAGGGCGCGGGTTCATACCCACCCAGAGCATGGAGTGAGTCTATAAACCATTACCCCCTATATTACTTATAGTGATCACTATACAACCTTACTAGTTGAAAAAGTGACATTAAATAAGTAAAAAAAAGTCCCCTATTATTATATGACCTGCCAAAATCCTCTGAAAATCCATAAAATCTTTATAAAAATAATGAAGATCAAATAGATCAAAATTAAATATGTATTGCCAAAAATCCTTTAACTCCTAGTACACCAATATCAGATGAATAGGCTTTAAAGAAGCTTATAACCAAGAGAAAAGCATTATAAGTATTTGTAACAGCTACATGAAATCCACCACCTTCTCGCTGACAATGATTCTTACAATAAAGATCACATTTATCCGTACCTATATATACAAAAATTCAAATACAAATGTCACCAAAGATTTAAATCGTAAAAAAAAAAAAAAGCAATTTCATAATAGAACATTTTGTAAACAGTGCAACTCGGTTCAGATATACATGTAGAACTAATCTTCCCTCTAGCACCCTTGGAATATCACCCTTCAACATTATCATACAATAGCGCTGATATGTAGATGGCATCTCCCTCATGTTGTCTGAGTTCTGCATTTGGAGTCAATTCTGTTTCTGGGGATAGAGATCTCAAAGATTCTAATTGGCACTCTGGTTCTTATGAAAAACCCCCACATTTGGAGAAACATAGTAAGGTCATTAATACGATGAAATAAAATCTTCAATGACCAAGATTTTGTTGTATTTTTTCAACTTGCTCATCCAGAAGACTAGATTAGAATCGGATAAAGATAGAGTCAAAGTGGCTCATTAAACTAAGGATACTAATCTCATTAGTTAACAGTTGAAGTTGAAGGTACTACAGAGTAGTGATACACTATTAATAACTAAACATTAATGCTGCTAAACATTGATGATCACAATTAAAACATTGCCCAACAAACATCAATGTTTTTAAGCTGGTTTAGTAACCTCTAACATTAAAGTCGTGGAAAACAAAATTTAATTTAACAGTAGCTATGTGTATTACCTTATAATTAAAATTTAACTGAAAACAAAGTTTAAAAAAATGCTGCTCCATGTGTACACGGAATACACGGACATACACCAAATACACGGAAAGATGAAGGAAATACCAGGGTATCAGGATCATCTTGGGAAAGAGAGAGCATACTCAATGAAAGCAGTAAAAACCGTGTTCGTAGGATTTGAATACATGAACAGACAGTGGTACTATCAATTATTCCATATATTAATTACATAATAGTTATCAACGGACTTTTTCCATTCAAAAAAGGAGAAAGAGAGAGAGAAAAAAAAGAAACACAAAATTTGTAAAAACATTAAGTCGTAACAAACATCAGCTTCAATACATTGTTGTATACAATGTCATTATTTTTATAGAAACATCGATAGTTTGAAAACATTGGCATAGATGTTGCATTTCTACTGTAGAAATGGAATAAAAGAGCAGAGAAGCGAAGAGATCTCATTCGAAAGAAGTTCTTTCGGTTAAAAAGCAAAGCTGTTGGTCAAAATCCAATAGAAAGATTAATGAAGACCCCCTCTACCCACTGATCATGCTAGAAAATATCATTAACAGGGTGACCACTTATTTCCTGGAACAAATCTCCCTATTTTTATTTTTTTATATTTCACTGATTGCTTTCTTTTCCTGAGAAAATATTTAATTTCACATGATGAAATGAAAATATTGATGCCAACTGGCCAGCTCTCGGATTTTACAATGGAAAAGTACAAAGCAGTATCTTCTCAACAAATAAAAATTAAACAAAAAATAATTATGCACTAATATTTTTAAGAAATAATATCTAGTTTCATAAGGCTCTGGAAATTATCCCTGGTTTCCAATTATTCTGCTACAAATTCCCTGGTTTCCAATTATTCTGCTACAAATTCCCTGATTTTTCTCGATTTTCCAGATGGCCAGTGGCTATCCTGATTAATAAATTTTTGTACCCCTCATAATGCCATAAAATTTCTTTCCAAATGGCACATCAAATTATCCAAAGCAGATAGTTTCAAACAACTGTCCTTTTGAATGATTTAGTCATTTTGTCTAAACAGTGAGGTGCCACTGTAAATGGGATTAGTTCTGTTAAACTAAGACAACTTTAAAATTACTGGATGTGAAATGAGATTTCTCATTATTAATAAAACTTTATATGGATCCTTTCAGAATGAGCTCTATTTCAGTAATGTTGTCAATTAATATTATCTACCCTTATGCTCTTACAATAGTTCATAGAGCTGAGGGCCAACTTAGCAAGCAAAGTGCTCTTGGGATTTTTAGTGATTTTGGCTAATGATACCTTTCTGAGAATAGTGTGCAGTGAAAAATCTCCACAAACATCCCGATGTTAGATCATTCTGTGCAGTGTGTTTAGGCTTAGTATGCAGTTTTCATTTGCGGGGTTAACTGTGATAAGTGCTCATCAAACTGTTTTGATGATAAAAAAGAATGTTATTAAATTGCTCCTTCATTACAAAATAATAAAAAATAAATAAGAGGATAGGCAAGGCAGATAACATCTTACAGATCCATGTATTCAAGGAATAGTATACCAAAAACCATAAATGTCATACAAAACCCTTAACCCTTAACGAAGCAGCATTTTAGGAATGGAAACTTCATTCATCACAGATATTAAACATTTCCATCCTACATCATAATACCACAACAGATTACAGACTTTTCTGATTGCAATACTTCTGTCAAAGTGCAATGTTAGTGAATGTCTGATGCCTCTGGCAATGTTTGGCACCCTAGAAACAATTATAACAATACACATGTTAACGTTTTATTTAAGCTCTACACGTTCATAACAAAAATTAATTTTAAAAGTAATACAGTTGTCTGGCTCATCCATTTCCAAGTATAGAAAGTTACATGAAAAATAGCCGATTAAAACACTTGTTTAAATTTTTGCTATGTTACAAAATTAGGTGTAATCATCACTCATCTCATGAATCCAACAGCAAAGGCTGAAAAATAGTTAAGTACTTCATACCATTTCACCAATACGCTTGTAGGTGCATTGAAAATTCTTCCAGAATATCCTGGAGGGAACAGTCTTAGAATTGCGCTAATTGACTTGCCTTCTTGAGAGGAATTGACTGATTACCTCTGTAAGTGTCACGTGTCAAGCAAAATGTGTATTAATTGCTTGGAAACACTCATATAAAAACATGATGTTTAAGGAGAGGACATGAAAAAACAGGACAAAAATAATTTTTCAAAATTTGCGCATATTATTCTCTGTCTTATCCTGAACATGTTGATATAGTTTGTGTATGTTTTCATCCCTAAAAAACTATTTAATGGAACTACGCAGTAGGCAGTGCATTTAAAGAGTGGGCGTAACCCTACACGGAATGTACAACGGGGAAAACATTTTTTAAAACATAGTTGCAAAGTTTCAGACACTGTTTGCAATTCATGGCTGCACTGTTAGCACTGCACTCTAGCATATTTCCTTCGTTTATTCTAAATAAAATGCCTATTGTGATGATTAAGAATAGAAATAATTGCATTGTTGTAAGTACTTGTACAGAAGTAATTGTATTGAATAAGAATATAAGTATTATTGCATAAATATAATGCCTATTGCAGTAATGAAATAATTGGAAATGTCTGTTGGAAGAAATACCAAATTTATGCTCTAATCCATTGCCAAACAACATGCAAGCGAGTAAAATAAATGATCTCATAAAACAAAAACAGAGGAAGAAACAGGAAGCTAAAAGAAAAGGAAACAATTAGGAAAATCCAGATGACCCAGAATAAGGAACACGATTGCTCTGAGTGATTGACTATGTGCAAAATTTAACTCCTGGGCTTTGAAGACACTTAACTCAAATTCTTGTTTCTTTAATTTTAGGACCGTTTAGCTTTGAGAAAAATAATAGTACTCGCTTAATTTTTTTACAGCAATTTCTATAATGTTTGTTAAGTCATAATTAACATTAATTTAATTAAGTCTATAATGTTAACAAAGTCATAATTAGCAACAAAACTACCAAAAAGATCAGCCAAAAAATTATACCCCCCAAAATGTCATTTTTTTCTCAAAATTTAACAAAAAGTCCTGTGCAAAAATGAATGATTGTATATCAGATTTTTGAGCCGAGCTCTTCATAATTTATATCAATGTATTCTTATTCTTGAATATGATTATTAGTAAATAAGAAAGCCTTAATAAAATTATTAAAAATACCAATAAAACAAACCAATAGTACATTAATAATTATTGAAAATAATTAATAAAAAATAACAAAATATATCCTTAAAATGACAAAAAACTGACTGTCCAGTAAATGCTCAAAGTGCCATTTGCCAAGAGACAAGCGGCTGTTGTGCGCTAAAAGTGAAAGGGATTCCAAAGATATTTCAAGCGTGGCCAAATTGCCAAAACAAGAGGTGGTGTTTCCAGACATAGGTTGCGAGTTAAGCTAAAGACGCTGTAGTTTTCGAGATGTGTGTGCCTAAAAATCATAAAATAAGCATGGGCAAGATAGGGATTTCCTTCTCCTCTTCAAGAAACATTTTAGAATCCTAAGAACATAACTGCAAACAAATGATCAGTTTCCCAGTAGAAGGTGAAGATGGGTCAAATGATAGTTGAACACAGGTTATTTGATTACTATATAAGGATGCAATTAGTTAATAATATTAAGCTTAATTGCATTAGTACAAGTTTTTAAAGTAACAACAGAAGTGACAAATATAAAAAAAAATAAAGTAATATAATACACATGTTACATGCACATTTTTCGGTACAGCAGCATTAAATTTTTTTAAAATGAAAATTAAATTTTGAAACAAATTCTATAAGTGAAGTTTTGTAGTTTGCAACCTAGGAGTCGGCACTATTATGTCACGTGAATTCATCACTTGTGCGCAAAGACTGGTCAGCTGTATGGTTTAATTACCACCTCCCCATGATTCGCTGAGAGTGAGACAATTCTGTGGTTGCGTGTTATATGTACCTAAGCCCTTAACTAAACCTCTCCGTTTAAGAATTTTTGCCCTGCGACCACAGACTTATTTCTTCTACAATATGAGCAGAGAACTTAAAACATTGTTCTTTTCCTCACTAACGTCTAAACTGAAGTATGCTTTGGCCAATTTAGTCTCCTTTATAAGTTCTCCATTTTATATTTAAAAATTTCAACATAGATTTAGTACATAATTACAAACCTTTTTGTAATCCAGGCAAGTGATAATTTTATATCTAACTTTTTAATACAAAATGACTCAAAACATCAAGAACTTTGTATCAAACTGCAAGAATGACATTGATGTATTTGCAGATTCACTAACCACACTCATTTGGCTGCTGCAAAATTTGCCAATTCTAACACCTGAAGAACCTAAAAGATATCACACATTTATAGTACTTGACTATAAGTATATTATTGAGATTTCCAAATAGCCTTGTATCTCAAATTTAAAAGGCCCCTTTATAAATATTTTTATGACAAAAAAAGGTTGTTTTAATGCTGGTGTACCAAAAACACTTATTGTATTGCGTAAATAAGAAAATAAAAACAAAGATTTTCAACATAATCACACACCTCAAAGTAAGGACTACATGCAGCCAACACAACTTTGTGTGCCTTCATGTATTGTCCATCAGCTGCTATTGTACAGTCTACCAAAGTTCCCTTTGCCAGCAGTTCTTCGAAAACACTAATTACTGCAGGATGATGCTCATCCCATTTGAGGGACAGTTCCTCCATCTTCACTCAAAGGCTGTAAAAACATGAAAAATAGCTAAATAAGTGTATTCTAATAGCTTTACACTTAGCAATTAGCATTTAAGAATTGGATTCCAAAAATTCTGTCAGAAAAACCTCTTCCTCTCTTTTAATCTTCGAACAAAAAAGCAGATTTGGATAACAATCACAAAATTTTGGGTTCATGTGTATTTAGTGGTACTTTTTGGAAAGATTTTCTATCTGATTAGATGCATCTACACTTTAACCACAAAATGAAAACATTTTAAAAAGGACTTAAGTGACTTTTGGAATACACTTCTTCAATCAACAGAAAAAATGATTGATGTTTCTGCATAATATATGATCCTACTTAATTAACATTTGTAATCAAATAAGCTTAGATTGAATGAACATGGTTAATTCAAATATTTGGACAACTCAGAATATTGGAGAAAAAATTACCATGATTATGGATTAGGCTGAAAGCCTCTTCCAAGCAAATCTTATGATTCCTACGACCATTATTTTCATTTCACTTGCTTCAAAGAGACAAATACTAATTCAGTACAGCAATAGGACATGACTCCTGTCACAATGGTATTTTACCAAGTTATTAGAAAAAAATATTTTCCTTGACATTCCCAATTTTAGAAATTTATGTTTAATTACAGTATTTGAATAATATTTCGAAGGATACACAGAATAACCTGAATTCCTGATATATAAAGCATTTTTGTGCTTCCAGGTTCAATAATGCAAAAAAAATTGGGCTGAAATGTAGTATACAATACAACCTAAAGAAGTTGTTTAAACCGGCATTTCATTCCGGCGTTAACTAAGCAGTTTGAATTCTGGAGGCTTTCTTGAAAAGTGATGTCTTATAAAAGAGAATTGGTAATTGTGCGTTAGATAGACTCAAGGATGTGTATAGTGAACGCAAGAGCCTCGCCGTGACGTGGATCGGGGCGTGCGAAGCGAGAAAACTTGCCGTTGAAAGTAAATTGGTGTTACAATGCGACGGGGACAAAGCGTATGAAGGGTGAGCCAAGAAAATCACCTATCCGTAAGTTTTATTCATTTCTATTAGAGCACGTACAGTAATTAGGGCTTAAGCCCCGCCACCCACGCTTCTCTACCGCATACTAAATTTTCAAGTGTTAATTTCAAAAATTCAGTGTAGCCAGATGTACCAGAATCCTAGTTTTTTACCAATTTTTAATGAAGATACTGTGTACCAGGATGAAGACATCCAGGAATGTTTAAATACCAGGATTTTAAGTCTTCAGTAACTGATGTTGAACAATTGTAAGATACATGTATTTATTTTATTTAATAATTTAAAACTAACACTTATATTACAAATAACTATATTGGTAAAAACAATGTCATAAGAACATTAAGGTGACATAGGATGATCTTTTTCTAGCACATAATGTGGTATAACAGGAAAGAACAGTCCATTTCTTCCATTTAGTTTATTGACATAAAATTAATCAGTATTGACTGAAGTTCAGCAAACTTCGTGTGTGTGTATAAAAACATAATAGCTATAATATGAAAAATTTCAGAACTTAAATCAGTTGACTTAGGTACCACGAACTTTAGTTAAAAGTATCAGGACTTTTGAAGTTTGGTACCGGGACAGTCATTTTATCTTCTGGCAACGCTGTAATAACTTCAAATGGTATGGTACCTAGTACCTAGCCTTCACTTGAGCGCTCATTCTTTATTTGCTATCAACCACAGTAGAACTATGATTGGGGAAATATACCTTTAACCATGTACAAAAAAGTGTATATATTCTTCTCTCAGACATTATAAACTTTTTTGAATACTGAGAATCAATTCAGAAATAAGCTTGGAGCTGGCTGTGAAACAGTATTAAGTGATGTTTAAATCCCATTTGACATTATTATTTATGACAATTTTTATTTGTTCAGAAATAACATTGTATTTCACAATTTCTTCTTATATTTTATACATGAATAATGTTAAAGGGTATATCCTGTTAACAGGGATTATTATAACTTTGAGTTTAGTACTTACTTTGTTTGCATACAAAGTAACAAGACATCTACAACAATAGTGATGATTGTTGTTATTTAATCAGTTCCCACGAATGCAACAATATACATCAAGGCAACCACACATTTTAACATAAAAATGAATTTCTACTTTTCACTTTCAAGTTATATAATCACATGTTGTAAACTAATTGCCAGTTACATAAAATTAGCATTCATAAACAAATCTATTTTTTGAAGATTTACATCTGATTTATGGTACTGCGCAATAAAATACTGTTGAACATTTCCGCGACACAAGTTTTAACTAATTACCACGATGTCTTCCACCGTGGTAATTCGTACGTAGAGAGTATTAAACATATTGATTAAATAAATTAACGTGCATGAGCACTAAAAAATAACATAAATTGCATTGTTACCCTTTGCAAGTCCAACGAAGTCCGCACTCTTGAAACACAAATGTCCTCGAACACACGAACAATCGCACTCAATAAATTGGCAAATACCAGACGATCACGCGATTGGCAGTTCATACGATACAGACTCAAAAGCAATTTCAGGGTTGAAATAGTATTCCCTGTTGCACATATCGAAAAGACTTTTCATGGAAACCCACAAAATACGTGGTTACCCAAATTATACCACACAAACACACCAATAAAAACAAGCTAACAACGCAGAGACGCGTTGGCGATTGGCGCAGCGATTTCCAGTTCCTCCAGAGGGCGCTGTTTGGCGTCTCCCATACATATTGCCAACTGCGTCAAAATAACAAATGCCATCACAACAGTAATAGACACACGGTAGTGTGAATAACTTAGACTTCACTTCAAGTCCGAAAGTAGTAAAAGCATGGTTTCAATACACTACATTACTAATCAACAAAAATAAATAGTTTAAGTTGCATTAAATTAAATATTTTCGTCAAAACAAATCTTATTACATATTTGAGTTAATTTTATATGAATCAATTAATATTTTGAGTATTTTTAAGTCTAATACTTTAGAGTTTTAGGATTTAGAATGAGACGTGTTAGTTTGGAAAGCAATTGTTGGTCACAAATCACATGATGCACAATGGGACTTCCCAAGATTGAGTTTATTGAGTTGAGTTGAATGACTCTGGTTCACGATCTGTCAAAATGAGGCACTTCAGGAAATGTCACTCTGAGCGATAGCATACTGTCCCAACTAGAGAACGGATTTTTATGTAAAAATGTACAGACGATTCCCGTTATACTGAACTTTTGGAGACTAACATTTTTGGTTCACTGTATCCGAGGATGTAGAAATCAAATAGTTTCTCCACTAACGATTGATTTTATTAATATAGAGATGCAGTAAAATACATTAAACAGCACGAACTGAACATTTCAATACCTTTATGTCTAAAAAATCAATTATTTTCAATTGTTTGCTTCGTAATTTTATATTAGTAATTTCTCTCATCGTTCTTTACAGCTTGTGCTCTCTTTATACTTTATTCTACATTGCTCTCCGGTGTCTGGGGCCTGGTTGAATAATATACACCAAGCTCTTGGCTGTATTATCACAGTATAACTGTGTAACAGTTATACTGTGGTATTACTGGGTTTTCTGCATTTACTCTTTGGCCCTTCGATTTAACACGGGGAACATAGGTTTTTTTGGCTGTGTAAGCAGACGGGTGGCGCTGTCTAGTAATTTTATGATTTTCACATGTTGTTGAAGGTACACAAGTTCAGTCAATCATTGAGGGCATTTAATGAATTATTTATGATGTTTAGAGAAATTGTTTTCATTTGATATTAGTTTCATTGATTTAAAATGTGAACTTGAATTCTTTGTGTGAAGTTGGTTGTTCTGGAAGGAAGTCCCTTTCCCGGTAGAAGCAGCAGCCTGGAGCCGGCACTTCCAGCGCTGATGGGAATTCGAGCATGGGTGTAGAAGGATCTTTGGTGCAAAATATTCCAGGGAAGTGAAATTGTCGAAATAAAATAATTTTATTTGTGTGAAACGAGTCGAAACTTGTTGCAATGTGCTGGAATCGATCCAAAGTGCCCAGTGGAAATCATAGCAAGAACTACGTACGTGGGTAGTGTACAATATTCCTGACTTGGACACTATGCATTAAATAATGTAAGCAGTGTTTCAATACAGACTTTTATTAAATCACGTTTAATTAATTAAATTTCTTACATTTTTATTATATATTTGTATTTTGAGTTTTAGAAAGTACATTTCCGTCATGCGATGGAAGTACAACCTCCAGACTTTTGGAACACCAGCCGCAACTGCGTGATATCACCATCGTTTCCCGCTGACTGTCCCTGAGGAACCGTCGCGCCTCCCCCCTCACAAAAAATGATCTATCAAGAAACTATGAGTTATCATATTTCAACAAATAATAAAAAATACATTTAAGCTAGAAACGGTTTTGGGAAATATAATTTCAATAATAGTTTTAAGAAAAAGTATTTAGTGATCAAATGAGACTCTTACAATTTCGACGGTGATTTTAAAACGGTAAAAACCATTGTGTTTAGTGTTTAGTAAAATCTTTTTTTGTTAAACACATGCAATAATAAAATGAATTTCAGTGAAACCTATTGTAATGTTGGTGTCATTTGATTAATTTCAGAGACCTACGTTATAAGTAATGACTATATCTAAATATTTAGGGAAAAACATAATAAATTGAAATTTTATGCAATATCAGGCTATTGTGCCGTGACTTATAAAATTACGTTAACGATTTTCTTGAGTTCTAATTTCTTTTCCAATTTTTTCCTATTTTCCCCACATCAGTCCTGACATCGAGCCCCTTCACTTGCGGGGCCCCAGGCGTTCGCCCGGTCTGCCCATGCCTAGCACAGTTAAAAATAAATAATTTTTGTGTTAAAGCTTATCCTATGTGCCAATACACTCCATTTTAAAACTTTTAATCATTATTCAGTAATGGCAAATAGGTTTAAAAGTTGTAGTATTTCAATAACCATTATCGTGCACAATGTGCGAACATTTCTGTAGGGTTCAACTAGTACTATTAAGTTCCTGTCTAAGAGTTAACCCTAAAGTGTTCAGAGTAAATATTTGTACATGAGAGTTCAGAGAATTTATTGACATAATAAAGCGGTACACTTCCAAACAAAAGCATAGAAGAAAAAATTGGGTAACTTGTTTACTTCAATATTGAAAACGGATTTGTTTGGTCCACTAGTTTTGTTAGAATCTGTAGCACCTGATTTTCTCTTGTGAAGAACTAAAAATAAAATTAAAGATGAATGAAATCTACAAGTTCCAAAACTAACATGAATATTCTTCTCAATAGCTTCAATCAATGTTTTGGTATCTTGAGAAAGTAGGCATAGGAGGGGCTGAAACAAAATACAAAACTGATATTTTTTTAAAAATGAAACCGCAGAATTAAAAAGGGCGCTATCTATTAGTGTTTGGTTAGAAGTACAATACTATTCCCTAGTTTATTTGATTGTTCGATTCCTATTATTACCTATTACTGCAGGTAATGGTAGATTTGTAAGAAATACATTCAGAATACCAAGAACGTCAACTCACCTTTGATATATTCTTGTGCCTTTTCTTTTGTCTCGAATATTTAGATCATGCGAAACTTTTATTCATTCTCAACCGGAACAGAAGGAACGTGGCATTAGTCCCAGATCCAAAAAACACTGTGAAGATCAAAGTGATCATCCACGGGCTTCGTCGCAGAAACGGTAAATTCTGAAACACGTAATACCGTTAATCTAATCTGTAATATAATGCAGTTATTATAAAAATAAAGTGAAGGCATAATTAATTCGAATGATTTTGGTTTCACAGAAATGAATCGTAATAGCGTATCGACAACAAAGAAATATTATTACTCGACCATCTCGCACAACGTTTATACCCTAATTCGTCCATCATTTCTTTACGATACAGGAAACTGTGTGAGTGTGTGGAGGCTAATGATAGGGTAATGCACGCATCTATCCTATTTCGTCCAAGTCTTCACGTGACCGTCAACTATATGTGTGTGAAGGCTGATGATCGTGTAATGCGTAAATAAATATCGTAATTCGTCCGTCACCTGTGTATGTGAAGGCCAATGACAGGGTAATGCGCGTATCTATCCTCATTCATCCATCATAACTTCAAGTGACCGGAACCTACGTGTGTAAAGGCTGATGATCGCGGAATGCGCGAATAAATATCCTGATTCGTTCATCATTTTGCGTGACCGTCAAGTGAGCGTGTGCAGACTGATGATCAGGTAATCCGCGTATCTATCCTATTTCGTCCACCATGTCTTCACGTTCCGGCAAGGGGTGTGAAGGCTGATGATCGTGTAATGCGTAAATATATATCCTAATTCGACCGTATCTGTGTATGTGAAGGCCGTTGCCCGGGTAATGCGCGTATCTATCCTCACTCGTCCATCATGCCTCAACGTGACCGTGTCTGGGTCTCTCACCGCGACGGGGTCGCCCCCGTGGTGCCGGCCCTCGGCGGCCAGGCGCTCCTTGAGCGTGGCCGGCTGCTTGCCGTGGCCCTTGGAGTAGGCCTGCGCCAGCTGCCCGCGCCGCCACACGCCCGCCGTCGCCGCCGACGCCGCCGCCCCCGCGCGCCGCAGCGCCATAGTCACGGTGCCCGACATCGCTGCTGCTGATGCTGCTCGACATCACACATCGGGCTTTTAGAACATTGTATCCTCTACCTCGCTCTGTTGTTTTCAAAACAAGGCTGGACAAGTACACATAGTGGTAGTTGTGCAGTGCAGGGCTGTGTCAAGCTATATCAGTTAGCTATATGGCATAACCGAGGAAAGATAAGATGAAAGTGGAGTGGAGTTAAGTGAAGGGACAGAGTAGGGAAGTAATTCGAATATTAAACAGCTACATTTAAAAGGAAAAGAAACTACATGACTGAGTATCTAAGTTCATGATAATGTATATCTATGCGATGTATATCTATGTATATCTATACACACACACGTGTGTGTGTGTGTGTATTCGTAGTAGTAGTAGTAGTAGTAGTAGTAGTAGTAGTAGTAGTAGTAGTAGTAGTAGTAGTAGATGCAGTAGTAATTTATTTTAATGTGTTGTATTGTAAATTGTTTTCACTCTGTAATTGTTTTTGTGTTGTAAATGTAGTTGTATCGTAAATATGCTTAGTAGACTTATGGCTAGCATCTGGCAATTAGCCTATTATTATTATTATTATTATTATTATTATTATTATTTAAGCACAATGGCACTTCAAAGTTACAAGCTGGAAGGACTAGGGGACATTGTCATTGAACTGGGAGCTACAAAACCAAAAATATTAAATATTTTTATGTGCAGTGGTAACCTCTTACTCTAAGGACCATTAATTCTATTAATATTTTAAAACATTCTAAAATAATCATGTATATTGAATACTACTGGAATATTTTTAGACCTTTCTAGAGAATTTGGTGTCAGTGATCTTAACATTTTACCTTCCAATTATATTTGTATGGATGTCGTAGTATTGCTTTAGATTGGTTATGTTTGTTCTTTAAACAACAATATCAGTGATTATAAATACCGTACTGGAACGAAAGGACATTATTTCATCACCTTCCAGATGCATTGCCAATTGCCAGATGCATTGTCCTGCAGAGTTCGATTTTAGGCCTTTTCTCTTCATAATGAAATGCTCTCGTTGATTTGAAACGGAAGAACGGTTCCCTTTGCAGATAATACGAATGTTCTTTGCAATACAGAAACAATTAATGATGACAATTACGACAATGGCATGACTGTTTTTGATAAACGATTTGAGGTAAAGTTTACGAAATTCCGAATCGAGATCAGTGACGCACAATTACTTTATCGTCTCCGTCGTTTAAAAACCACGCAAGTCAACATTTTTAGAAAATTTTCTATTTTGTATTATTTTATACATTCGTCATATTTTTTAAGACCAAAAAGTTTTGTCACCTGCATTTAATATTAAGAATTAGTAACAGTCTTGGTGCTGTAGAGGCTAAAAACGAAACCACGGAAGTTGACATAACGTAATTGTAATAGGAAATCTTAATTTTAATTTCATTTTACGAAACACTGCTTATTTTACGTTCAAATCGACTGAAAATATAGAGTTATACATTGGCACTCCTTGGAAAGTAACAAAAAGAAAATTTCTTCATGCCTTGTCTGAGTTGGAGATTTTTTTTTACTTAATATATGATTGTTTCAAAAACGCGTATTATTCCTTACAAGCAAAATAGCAATCATCCTTTTAAAAAACTGATTGCAATTACGATATATTGGTAGGGTTTAATGGAAGCTTAATATTGAATGCTCAAACGTTATACCCTTCTACAAATGAAAATTCGAAAACATGCAGTTGAATTGTCGACGTATTGTTTGTGACAAGTAGACATACTCGATCAATATAATTTTTTATTATTTTTTTTTTATTTTAGATCGCTTTCCATTCCCTTGTTACATAGAATGGCCGTTTCTCCGTGGTTAAACATGGTGATGGGTTGGACAAACACTCAAGAAACAACGGACAAATTGAACTTCCAAGACATTATACATATGGAAAGAAATTCGCATTGCGTTAATACATCGCGTGTTCTATATAGGCTATTCAAATGTAAGCATTATTTGAATGATTGTTCTTTGCGCAATTTTATTACGGATGGGTTTTGAAAGTATTAAGTAGACTAAAATCAAGTTGAACATGTGGAAACCCAAAATCAATTTAACTCCTTTCATGGATATTCTGAAATCAATAAGATAATTTCGTTCCGCATTATTACAACAATCAACTTTTCAAGTCTTACCTTTATTTATGAAGCTATTTATTATTATGAAGAATATTTCAAGTTGCCTCACACAATGGAGTATTTCACGTTTCAACGAAAAACAACTGACCATCAACAGGAAACGGAAATAGTGTTTCAATGGTTAGTAAAGACCAGTGATCTCAACATTATATTCTAGAGCTCACTGGTGAAGACATCTTTGGAGTCAAGAAAACGTGCAAATTACACTTCTACTTCTCAAAGTTTTTACAGTTCTTTGATGAAAATAAATAAGATGGTGCATGGAGGAATATAAATTCTTCCATGTCCAGTGTTTGTAGTTGACGACAGAAAAAATGGTTGGTTGGCTGCAATGTAGCCATATGTTTTGTGTATCATTTTCCCAAAGGTTTCTTATATTTTTCGACTAATTACTCCAGTGAAATGATTTTAAGAAGTTGAGGATAAAACTATATTTGACAAATGAATTTAAAAAAATTCTTTCACTTAAAATTGCTTTTATTGTAAAAATGATTTGTACATATTATCACCATACATTTCGTTTCCTCAATGGCAACGCTGTTATTAATGGATTGAAACAAACATGCCCAATCGTGACACCTTGAAGACAGCACTTTTCATGGACAGAACTGTGTCTGTAAATATATCATAGATGTCTATGGAATACACCAGTTTGAGTTGAATCTCTCATGCGATTTTACATTTCTCTGACCGTAAATATATTTCATGTAATTAAATGAAAGTATAATAAGACCTATTTGGACCAAAACGTTTAAAGACATTATTCAGACCACTTCTTCAGAGTACGCTAGTACTTCAGGAACTACTTAGAATATTGTCAATTTTTATGTAAATCATACAAACCGTTCGGAACTTTAAGCCATTTATGAGATAACACTCAATTTTTATATTGTAGAGTAGATTATACGAAGAACAAAATCCTAGTTACTTAATAAAATTGTAGAATTTAAAACAAAATAAAATCGTTTGCAAAAATAAGCTTACAAAAAATTATAAAACCACATTTTCCCATCCCGGATGTCAATTTTTGTTAATCTGTTCTTAGAAACTCTTCTTAGATTGCTAGAACGAGGCCATTGGTTTCTTTCTTAACCCGCCGTTACTCGCACTTTTAGAAAAAAATCGAACAATTCTCGATTTATTTAAATATCTTTGACTTCTTTCAACACACGGGGATAACGCTCCAGCAATGTCTTCCTGCACGATGCAACCCCTGCATCAGTTTCTTATCAGTTCTGCGAAGGGAAAAGATATGAGAAAGCGCTGATTGATGTGGAGCGTCGTGTTAGATATTTTCTCACGCCCGAACAACCACCTTATATTTTATAAAATTAACTCATCAATCCTTCTAACAGTTATTCACTCTCTTTTGTCTTGAATACTTGCGCGAAGATCAGAAAAGGAGTAGTGACCCATCGTGATCGTGTTTTTTATACCTTAAATCAAAGGTAAGATTAATAGATTTAACAAGAATATTGTCCGTCATCCCTTCTCTGTAATTTTTTTACTTAGATCTTCTTAGAGTAAAAAGTTACGTCGGGGAGCAACCAA